GGGAAGAGACTGGACAAAAATCGTGCACCTATGGATGAGGACAGTGGGTGGGGAGTGAGGGCGGAGGGTGGGGCGGGAACTGGGAGGAGGGGAGTTATGGGGGGGAAAAAAGAGGAACAAATGTAACCTGAACAATAAAGATTTAATTTAAAAAAAAAAGAAAGAAAGAAATAGGAGATTATGGATTTGTCCTCTACACCTACCTGGCTTTGGAACCTCAGCCCTAATTTAGGAGAGATGTGGCTGTGCCCTATGACTATTGCTGCAATTAGCACCTTTATACTCAACAGGGAAGATCAGTTCAAAGGCTATTTGGGTTGATGGCCTTGTCCTCTGATGGCCTCATGAGTCATGGTGGTCTGCCTTAGAATCACCTGGGTATCAAAAACAGGAAGGAAAAAAAACTATTATATGATGTGTGGCCCTCTAATGCCCTTTGGTAACCTTCAGAGTTCTGTGGTAACCATATCTGCACCCTGACCTGGAAATTCGGCCAGTAACCTTCAGGAACCGGTTACTCACAGTATTCAAGTACGAACTAACTGAATGATCCTGACTAAGGAAAACTTTCAGCCAAGGGCACTGAACTGAATGGGGTTTTCGTATTTCACTCACAACTCCACTTTAATAAAGTAGAAAGGAGATTGGAAAGCAAATAGAAAATGATTATTTTCTGTCTGATTTTCCTTCAGGGAAATGTCCATTCAGTGCCTGCCTATCAGCCACAGAGCTACAAGCTCCCCTTTCTTCCTTCCCTGAGCTCGAGTCCTCGGAGGTGTTATGGAAGGCTTTGCGATATCATTAGGGGGTTGCGGGGCGGGGAGAGGGGTCTTGTGTTTCAGACTGATTTGACATTCTTCTTATGATGCCAATTTGGACAGATTAGTAAAGACCAATGAACACGATACCTGTGGTATCAAGAGGAAGAGGTGTGTTTTGTTTCCAGCTGCAGATTTGATGGCAGGTGAACTTTTTAGACTGAGCTATCAGAATGTAAGAACATAAGAAAAGTTGGGGTGGTGGTGTGGGGGGATAATCACACGTTTTGATTGTACTGTATACCCTGGGGCTGTACTGTTCACTCGGCATTCACTAAACCCACAGGATGGCTTTCTCTTTTACAGTCTGGTAAATTGTTTCCCTAAAGCTGCCAGTGTTTGCAGCTCCAGTAAATTGCTCAACTTCATATATTTCATGTGGCCCAAGGAAGGCCCAGTTGGCAGACCCTACTTCAAATCCTAGAGGCAGTGAGTACATGGAAATATCTTTGGGACTCTTGCTTGTTAGGCATATGGCAAGTTCACAAAGCTAGACATTTTATCAGGACAAGGAATACATTTGCCAAGGAAAACATTACAGTAAAAATGAATGTAGGGAGAAGAAAACATAAAAATAGAAGTCATCATGCTGCTAAACTTCATTCTTAAAAAGGCAAGTTGCTATTATTGCAGAAGACACTAAGGATCAGAGCATAATATAATAGGAAGCTGTTCATAATTATCATTGATGTGCTCTAAGTGTTGTAATTAGTATCTTCATACTGGTGCTATCAGTAACACATTCCTTTCCTCTACGTGTGTTACAATTTACGGTTTGCTAGCTCACAATAGTACTGGAACACTCCACAAATCTCACTCCCCAGCCAGGGAAAGGCCCCAGCTCACGAAGCATGTGGTCTATTTTTACACTTAGATTTACAGTGGACTGGCACTCACATACTGACAAGATCCACAGTGTATGGGGGACGGGGAGAGGTTACTAAAGTGTTTTTTAAAAACTTCCTTTGCTTTCTGACAAAGGAAACAATTCAGAAATCTCCAAATTGTCTTGCTGCTTGAGCCTCTACCAAATTTGAAATTGTTTCCCTTTAGTCCTATTATTATAGGTTTTTTTTCTTCTTCAGTGAAGTGTGTTGGTGATGTCAGTGGAAGTTGCCTACATTTTTTAAAAAAATCTCATTTCTGAAAGAATATTTTTGAAACTTTTTTTCTTTACCTCCTTTTCAGCTTTTGTGAAAATGATACACATATAAATAAAAATAAAATACCACACAAATGCCATGCATGCTTTCCTCCCACCCCCCTTCACCCCCTTCCCAAGACAACACTGCTCTCTGGTAATGGATGCTCAGGTGATTCCTTGCTTGATCTTTACATTGCTATTTTTTTTTTTATTCATTGTGTCAATTATCTGTTGACCTTTTCTATTTGTTCACTTCCATTACCCTTCTCCCTTCCCAAATTGATGGTTACTTTTAATTATTCTATTGCTAATCTTTGTACTTTAAAAATAATAGTTTTAAACCTCTATTTATTGTTCCATCTATTTATATAGTACATCTTGACTCTCCATTCTGTTAGTTGAAAATATTAATAATCCCAGTGGAAACAAAGCTTGAGTTCACTTTAAAAATTTTCTTATGTTTCCTGAATGATTTGTTTCTTCAGGAGTCAGGTATCATGTTTAAATTACTTGGCTTTTCTTTGTAGGGCTTCTAATTTGTTTTTAAAGAGGAGTGGTGAACTTTGGTTATCCACCGATATTTAAGAACAAAGGGCTGAGTTGATTTTTCTTAATACTTGGTGTGGGTTTTCCCTGTTGCTGTGTATGTAGGTCTGATTTCCTGTTCTGTGCTGTCCCTGAATTGGAAGGCTGCATGGGCCATTGGTGCTGTGGGGGGCTTGTCTCCTGGTAGTTTCACGTTAGGATCAACACTGAGAAGGGGCTAGATTCCTGTCAGGAGTTTCTGTGGCTGTGGGGGATGGGGTGGGGGCTCCAAATGCCTAAGGGGAGTGATTTACTCTAGAGTAGCGGTTCTCAACCGCCAACCTGTGGGCCGCGACCCCTTTGGGGGTCGAACGAACCTTTCACAGGGGTCGCCTAAGACCGTCAGAAAACACATATGTAATTACATATTGTTTTTGTGATTAATCACTATGTTTTAATTATGTTCAATTTGTAACAATGAAAATACATCCTGCATATCAGATATTTACATTACGATTCATAACAGTAGCAAAATTACAGTTATGAAGTAGCAATGAAAATAATTTTATGGTTGGGGGTTACCACAACATGAGGAACTGTATTAGAGGGTTGAGGCATTAGGAAGGTTGAGAACCACTGCCTTAGAGTGTTGGAACATATTCTAGCCTTTCTGGTTCTCTCCAGACAGTTATTTGTTTTGGGGGGTGGTTTTTTGTTATTTTATTTTTAGCTTTTTATTTTAAACTAATTTCAGACCTAGAGAAAAATTCCAAAAATAATAGAGTGTTTCTGTATATCCCTTACCCAGCTTTTCCTAATGTTAGTGTCTTACATATAGTACAATTTCCAGGCAGTTTAAAAAATTTTTAATAGATAAAGAGTCCCCCAATAATTTGTCCACAAGTAAAATTTTGGCACAGTACATGGACATAACGCAGGGGATAAGGAAAAGAATGAAGGGCACTCCCAGGCCCTGTATGCCTTAGGCAGACTTCCATGAACCTCTCTCTTTTACACTCTCTTTCAGAATCTCAGTCTCTGTTGCTGCTGCCCAGTGAGCCTTGGGTCTTACTGGTTTACTGGTACATTGCCAAGCAGCTCATGCCCACCCTCCCACTTTCCCAAAGTTTTCTCCTATATCTTCTTCTCTGGGAAACCTTGGGTTTTGCTCTTAAAACCTTCAACTGATTAGATGAGCCTTCATACCGTGCCTCCCACCCCCATCCACCCAAATTAAGGAGGGTAACCTCTTTTATTTAAAGTCAAAAATCTTAAATGTTAATCACATCTACAAAATACCTTCACAGCAACATCTAGACTAGTGTTTGTTCAAACGGAGGGACACCATAGCCTACCCACGTTGACACATAATATTCATCATCATCTACTCTGTTCTCTGCCATCCTGTCCTTGACCTCCAAAACTTTGTCAAAATCTGTCTTCTTCCCCTGATGTCCCTTTCTCATTCCTTTCACTGTTATGTACCTCCCTCTTTCAGTATCATTTTATTAGATTCTAGGGAGACAATTGCTTGTACTCATTCCACCATATTCTACAAGAAGAAAACACAGTTTATTTGTTACAGAGAACCTGATTGCTCATGCAAGTGCCTCTCCTAAGCATTGGTGTGTCAACAGAGGTCAGCATTCATTTTGAGATAAAAAAAAAAAAAAGAATCATGTGATTCAGCTCAAATATATTTGCTTTACATATTACTCTAGACAGATTTATCAATGTTGATGCTTAAGTATCTATTGCATTGTACTTACTTAGAATTTTTCAACTAATCATTTTATTTGATCTATCTAAATGAAATTATTCTCCTATTTGCTTGGATATAAGTCCATTCGACTTTGAAGTATTTGAAAAATCTTCAAAATATGAATTTTAAGCTTTACAATCTGAACTTTAACTTTCTTATTTTAATTTTTAAAATCATAAACAAAGCTTTTTCGAGGGCTTATTCACCTATGTAATTCATAATACCTAGAATAGTGCTTTGTCCAAAGTAGGCACTCAAATTTTTTTTTAAATATGCTTACATTTTCCAAAAATTCTGTAGCTTTGTATAACAATGGTATAACTTAATATGGTACTGTAGAGATTTCAAATGCTTTAATTTCTGGTATTTCATTCACTGCTCACATTTGATGCTACTTGTGGGGTTGGGAAGTAAGCAGACATTTTTAGAACACTTGGTAGGACACTTGGGCTTTGTCTGAAGTGGTACATCATTTGCCGAGGTCATGTACCTTACAGCTTCTGAATCTGCTTGATTCCAGATCTTCTGACTCCTAATTCTGTATCTTAATTATGCATATGTTTTCATATGCTGTACATCATCTGGGGAACATTAGACAATGAGCACTGTTCTATAAATCCTAGTATTGTTAGATATGCTTGCGATGGACTCACACTCATGGGTTGTGCTAATGATCTAAACTATCTGTTTCTTTTATAAGAAGTTAAGTTTCCTTGGATAGTCAATCCACCCTACTGTGTCCTTGCTTCTTCCGTACCCAGGGACCAAATAGAGTCATGCATGAAAAATGCTCCTAAGGTCAGGCTCTGTCTCCTGGCAAAAGTGTGTTTACGAATCAGAAACCACCGTGTATTTTCAAAACCAGAGCCTCCTTACCACTATGAAAAACTCATCCATACAAAAACATCAAATTAAACCTATCACATATTTACTAATAGCAAACAGAGCTGCAATCCTTTCCCTCCCATATCTCCACATCTTGTCAAAAATCAAATTGTGGTTTAATTAAAGAAGTAAATGAAAAGTAATGATGTCTTGTTAAAAATAAAAATAGTACTGACTCACTGTCACAAATATATTATTTTCTTTTTTTAAAAGAAATACCGAGTGTCTTAATTTAGTATGAAACATACATGACAAAAAGCTAAGAATAGTCCCCCAAAGTGAGGCCCCATCATTATTTGAATTAACTTTCTCCCACCGCTACCTGGAAGTGGATAGGGGGACAGTTTTCTTCCCAAATACTCTTTTCCCAGTTTTTCTTTATTCCTCTTTTTCCCCCCCAGCTCTGCCTCTGAGACCTCCCTCCTGCCCTCCCAGTCCCAGCCTTTCCACTGGACTCATGCACAAACTGGTAGCTTTAAATGCCTAACTAATCTTTGTTGCAAATGATGTATATTATTTAGAACTGTCTCAGGCCAGGTCTCATATTATTCCGCTTTGGTTGCCAGAGGTTTAAAGGATTAAACAGACCTTTAAGTACACATTTCCTGTTATCACTTCTCATATTTCAGAGCAGAGGAGCATCCTTTGGGTCTTGTGTTCCTAACCTCGAGTCTGTGACTTGGCTTTTGGGACCTGTGACTCCCCAGAAGGGAAAGGTGGAATAATGTGAACACAAATGCATTTTCTCTGGAGTGGCTCTCTAGTTGTCTTAAAAGGGACCCATGACCCGGGAATGTCAAGAAGCATGACTGGCTCTCAGAGGCCCTTTGCTTCCACCACCTTCACTTTTCACTTGAGGTCTGGGCTGGGCTCTGGCATTGATCTGCAGACCCTGAGCAGCAGCCTGTTTCCTGTCTGGTTCTTCTGTCCACCTTTCCCGAGCTGCTGAGCTTCACCTACCCTGCACGCTCTCTCCGTGTGCTGCCCTTGGCTGCACCTAACCACTGCTTGGCTTTCCTTACTCCTTTTCACATCCCCGTCCTGGCGTAGAAGGTATTCCTGTCCTAATTTTCTAAGCACCTTTACTCCGGTGTGGTTTATCCTAGAGTTTCTATACTGAATATAGAGAATCACCGGAAGTTTTTCTCTACCCTCTCTGTCTGATCAGTGCACCTGGCACATCCCAGAGCCACTGCCTTCCTTAACGAGTGACACATTCCCTTCCCATGGAATCACATCCCTCAAAGGACCAGTAGCATCCTTGTGCCCTGAGGAATCCTGGCACTGTCTTCCCTCCAAACCCCTAAAACTGCCAGATTCCACACTAACTTAGAATACCCCCTCCCCCTCTCCCTCCAGTCCTATTATTACAGTCAGCTTCAGTTCATGAGCAGGTTTTACCTTGCTTCAGCCTCACTTTAATAATCTCTCTCTCTCTCTCTCTCTCTCTCTTCTACATTTCTGGCTAATTTTTCAATTTTAGTATTGGAAAAAAAATAGCCAACCCGGATCAAATATGAAAAACGTAAAAGAAGTTGGGCATAGATAAAAGATAAGAAAAAGATAAGAGGACATAGACTTCCAGTGCTTTCTTTTGGTTTGGGCCTCATCTAGCAGAACCCCTTGCATCCCGTGCTCCTTCTGACTTGCTGCCCGAAAGTGTCTACAATGCGGAGGGGGCACAGCTGGAAAGTAAGCTGAGGGATCTGGCTCTTCGGCCATATGAGCCCCAGTGGACTGACCCCAGCATCATAAATCAAGTTGGCAGTGAGGGTGGATTTGGGGCCCTGAGTAAACTGCTATTCCAGTCCAAAGTTAGCTTGCCACGAGGTCTGCATTCTGAGCCTGCTGACACTTCCTCCGATAGCCTTTGCTGATATACAAACGAGAGAATTCAAGCCCTTATTTAGATCCCTGCTGAAAGTCTGTTCTGAGCTGCTGCATTGCTGTTTCCAATACACAATCCAGAGCTGAAGAAGTGACCAGCCTGTGGCCTCATGACTCAGGAAAGCCTGGTCATGGGCAGTGGGCTAGTTCCTGTCCTCAGATAGGGACCGGGACACCAGGGCCCTGCCAGATTCTTGTACACCCCTTCCCTCCTATTCTGAGGCCAGATTCTTGTACACCCCTTCCCTCCTATTCTGAGGCCAGATTCTTGTACACTCCTTCCCTCCTATTCTGAGACCACTTGCAGAAGGGATCATCGGTCCCTTCATTACTGAAAAATAAGTAGCTCTCTTAGGAAACCAAAGCCATCTGGGAGGTTCTAATGTTAGTGTGGAATTTTTTTTTATTCCTCTTTTTTCTCCCCAGCTCTTCCTTGGAGGGAAGACAGTGCCAGGATTCCTCAGGGCACAAGGATGCTACTGGTCCTTTGAGGGATGTGATTCCATGGGAAGGGAATGTGTCACTCGTTAAGGAAGGCAGTGGCTCTGGGATGTGCCAGGTGCACTGATCAGACAGAGAGAGGGTATGTGCACCATCCAGATACCGGATTCCTCCACATGTTTCTTAATCTAGCACTCCTCCTGCAGAAGAAAGATAATGAAGGCATGCACTGCTGACTCCACAAGAAGCCTTTTGCACAGTTAAGAATCATCAGTGAGACTTTGCAAAGTATTTCAGAGCCTACTGCTACCACGTATCTCAGCTTAATCTATCTAATGGGCCTGTGGGAGGAGAAAAAATATGATCAGTTGCAAATGTGAATAGGGTGTCAACAACAACCTAAACTCATATGTTACAATGGAATTTTCCTCCTGTCACATAGCACATTGAGCTTTCCTGACTTCTAATCCAGCGTCCCTCCACGCACCATACTGCTTTCACACACCACCGCTCCTTCCCACATTGTAAGAAACTAAAGCAGCACAAAATGTTGGGACCTGGCTGTGCACCTGTCAGGATGAGTTGTAAGGTCCACAGTGCCCTCAGCCAGCTGAGTCATTTTGCCTTGCATCAAAGGAGTCACCCTAATGTGAGGCCTTGTGGGAAACAGACAAAATGGTTCTGAGTCGTCACCCAGTTTTAACAGTGTGACAAAAGCAATGCAGAACAAGGCATGTGTATCCCACTCCACCCCCCACTTTCCCAGGGCCTTCTTTGTGCCAGGTACTTTGTGCTTCATGTCAAATTTAATTAATACTCAGAGCATTTTCATGAAGAAGGTACACTTAGCCCAGGCTACATATAACAAAATCAAGGGTAGAGAGTTAGTTAACATGTCCCAGGTATCACAGCTATCCTTGGTATTCAAGGTTGGCACCCAGGTCTTCTGTCCTTGCTTGTCCTACTAACCCCATGCTATTGTGGCAGGCTCTTAGATCCCGGAACTGCACATTAGAGTCTTCTGGGGACTTTGAAAATGAGTAAGTCAGAACCTCTATGGGTGGGGCCCAGAGAAGAGCCCTAGGGAAGAGCTGACAAGCACTCAGTTTCCCCTCTAGCACTGAGAGTATAGCTTGCCTCACCGTCATCCCAGGGCCCAGCATGGCCCCGAGCAAAATCACCTGCTCTTCTTTCCCCATCCCTGCCCTCCAGATGGAGTTGTTCCCTGCAGTTCATTCAGCTTAGGGCTCAGCCACAGTGCAGGAATGACTGGAGAGGAGGTGACTGAGCTGAGCAGGCAGAGCTGAGCAGGCAGGCTGTGATGTGGGTCTGGGCCAGGGAATGTCACTGGAGGGTGCAGAGGCCGGCAGGCAGGAGAAGATCTGGGGCATAGGAGAGTCTAGCATAGTGATGGATGAATTAGACTTTAATATGAAGTAAAGATGACTCGGTTTTAAAGTTAGCGTGGGCAGGGGTTTTATCCTTAACAAAAAGGAGTACGTGAAAAGGAATATTGTGTTTGGAGAGGGAAACTGTGCATGCTGAGTCTGAGGTGTTATAAGAACTTGCTGTGGAGATGTCCACTGGCAAGTGAAAACTGCTGATGAGAGACAATAGGACTTGCTCAGTTTCCCAAATGCATTAAGATGTGATGCAGACTCTCTGAAGAAGGTGCGAAAGCAAATAGCAAGAACAGTGCACCCAGGTTCCTTTGGAGCATTCAGATAATACTCTTGTGCGTGTGTACATCTTGGAAACATTATACTAAGTGGGGGGAAAAAACAGACAAAAGGCCGCATGTGTATGATACCATTTATGTGGAGTGTCTACAATAGGCAAATCCATGGAGACAGAAAGTAGATTACTGGTTTCCAGGGGCTGGGGAAGAAAAGAGTGGGGAGTGACTGCTAATCGACATGGCATTTCTTTTGGAGGTGATGCAAGTGTTCTAAATTGATTATAGCGTTGATTGCCCAGCTCTGTGAATATGCTAAAACTCACTTAAGTAGGTGAATTGTATGGTACGTGAATTATGTCTCAATTTGAGCAAAATATAAATTGTCATTATTTGGCTAACTGAAAATAAAGTCCAAACCAAAAATGAATTCTATCCAACCTTTAACTCGGGTATACGTGGGCAGCTTGGCTCCTTATGCAGAGGAAACACACCTTTTTCTTCAGCTCCCCTTCATAGTTTACCTTAATTTTCAGTGCAAGAAACAAAAACGTGTGAAGTAGGTGTTGGAAGAGCGGTTTAACATATAATTAAATTCTCTATTTAAAGAACCACATTTGTTTACAGGAGAGAAAAGGCCCTTGATTCTTTACTGCCTTGTATGTTCCCTGTGAGAACCATTCTTACTTGGGCCCTGTTTAACATATGGGTTCTTATATATTTAGGAATTGAAAAAGTGGGAAAGAAAAGGAAAGATGAAACACGGATTCTTCCTTTGGGATTTACACTAAAATGTGAATTTTATCTTGGTCCACCATTTTTAAACCTGAAAAGTACAGTTGTTTAGACAGTGACACAATGTTTGGACAGTGGTCATTGGGTTCTCCTTAGAACACGTTGGAACTGGGTATTGAAAAATATGAGATAACCTGAAACTTAGAAAGGCACAGTCTATCAAGTTAATTTGAAAGGAAAGGATTAACAAAATTAGAAGGTGCTGTTTGAAAATGGACTTAACAAAAACCAAGATGGCGGCATAGGTTAACGCAGGAGTTTGCTGCCTTGAACAACCACTTCAAAAATACAACTAAAAGACGGAACGGACATCATCCAGAACCACAGGAAGGCTGGCTGAGTGGAAGTTCTACAACTAGGAGGAAAG